CACACACACACACACACTATTAGTACTGAACCAACAAGAAAAGCGATGGAACTTTGCTGGGGAGGGGGCAGCACTCTTACTGCATTGTGGGTCGTTGCCACTGTGTGGTTCTGCTCTCATGATTGACAAAGTAGGTTCTTCCCAGGTTGTCCTGCCGCTCCTCCCAGCCAGGGGGCAGAGCAGGCAGCAGCTGGCTTTGTCTGGGACCTGACATGTCCTGAGCCTCCAGAAACTCCCAACCAGGCTGCACAACGTAAAGAAAATGTTTTAAAAACAGGCAGCAAATACAGGATGGAGACGACGTCCTAATGCCAAAGGTTTAGCTGCACGCACCAAAGAAGACTTGCCAGAACTTATAGCACTGTATAAACTGTCTGCAGTGATGCTAAGGTTGGCATCCAATGAAATAAATGCTCTTCTAAGTGGCTCTATTAGGATTTGAGTAAAAAATGTTACATACTGTTATATTGTGTATTTTTTGCAGCTTTGTGAATTGATTGGAGGTTTGTGGATATATTCTATGTCCAGTCACAATAATTTCCATGTGCGATCATACACATTTAATCTACCTGCTGTAACTGATTCCATGGAGACAAAAAAGTACAGTTTAAAGAAAACAACAACAAAGAAAACACTGCAGATTATTTTGCAGGTGGCTCATAGGAATGTAGGGTGAGAGTTTGAGGCCCTCTTACCAGCACTGACTGACCTCATCAGACTGACTGAGTGTATCTATTATGAACGAGCAGTAAGGATGACTGCGTGGGTGAACTAAACAGAGGATCTGTGATATTTTTGAAGGTCATGAGAGATATCTTGTTGCTGCCGAAGCATTGGCCAAACTTACGTCCTGGTCCTCCGTCTGTTCTGCCGTTTCCTCCTCCGAACCTGGGTTTTTTGGCAGGTAGGTCATTTTGAGACGCAGGTGACCTTTGACTCTGGACTTGTGGCTGTGTGACAAACAGATTCAATATTTTGAACGAGGAAGAAATAAATATAGTCTGGAATGTTTAAAAAATAAAGCATGAACTGAACTGTGGCCTATCGTTTCTCCTGCAAATAAACATATATAAAAATGGAATGTAAAATAGGGAAAGACAAAAGAGTAAATAACCATGAGATCATGCCAACCTTCGTGGGTGAAGCAGAAAATCCTTGAATGTGTATGGCCTTTCTGTATTAGGATTTTCTGTCTGAGAAAAAACAAAACAATAAAAAGGAAAATCTTTAATTCTCCAAACACTTACTCACAGCGGCATGAATAAATCTACTGCCCGACACTGTATCATAACACAGTATATCTAAAAAATAAGATTGAATGAAATGAGGGTGACAGTGTACTATGAGGGCTAATTTGTGGGTGTTGTATTTATAATGAAACAAAGCAGGAACGTAACATAAACATGACGGGCTGTGTTTCCAAAACTATAGACAACGATGTGGAACAGACACTAGAATAAGGGTGTGTGTGTATATTTACATGGTGACATGGGTGAGATTGAGGTCAAAAGCTTATACGGTAAAAAGCTACATTAAAAAACAAAAACGCATTCAGATTAATTGAACTTAAACAAACATCAATATAAAAAAAGAAGAAGGATTTCCTGCAACCGAGGACTCACCGGTATCTGATTTAAGGGGACATCCACCTGTCCCAGAAAGTCATCACGTGTCTGACATGGAGAAAGAGGGAGTCACACACAGATGTCAGGATCATGACAACATTATCTCCTCCCACACACACACACACACACACATATATACAGGGCTGGCCTCGACATGTTCTGTTACTCAGACGTCTTTACAGTAATGAAAACCACTGTTCATATCCCCATAGGAACATGTAGTGTGTATATTTAGTGGTAATTTATCTCCGATCATGTCAAGACGAGGCCTTCATACTACCTTTAATCAATAGATCTTTCAAGGATTAAACAGCTCTCATCCTCAAACATTGCACTATTTTCCTCCCTGAAACAATGACAGTCACTTGACTTGATTCACTTCCGTATAGATTTAGTATGTAGCCTAGATAGGAATGTGTTTATCAGCTCACAATGAATAGCTGCACTGTGTTATTGCTAGAGAGACTGGGACCAAAATAATGCAGCATTTGTCAGATAAACTTTTAGTCTCTTCTTTGAACACTTCACACATTCACTGCATTGCAGCCATTACAGTCTCACAGGCAGAAGGCTGAAGGGAAACGCACCGTCGGAGTCAGCTTTGTGACTAAATTAACACCCGCGGCAGGTCAAACTGTCCAACAGCAGTATAGAGTGTTTACGTGAACAAATATAGACGGAGGCCTCCTTCGTCCTGCCCTTGCACTTCTAATAGTGCAGCCAAGGAGAGCAGTTAAGTCCAGGTTAAAAGACAAGCTACATGTACACCAGCAATAACCAGTGGCAACGCTACATTCTTAAAACCCATGTGCATTTTAACTTGTAACTTTAAGTACATCATAGTCATAATTATTGGATATTTCATTGATGTACGCCTAAAAAGTCGACAAATGACTGCTTTGAATTTTGTTGGTATAAGAAGTAAATCTACTGTTAGTCACTTTGATAAAGACTGCCAGCTAAAATGGAAATCACAACTGTACAAAGTAGGGCTGCAACAAACAACTATTTTCATTAATAGATTAATCTATTATGATCTATACAATGTCAGAAAATACTGAAAAACTACTAAACTACTTGATGAATTATCAAATAAGGAAAAGAAAGGCAGCAAATCCTCTAAACTGAACCTAAAGACTTTTGGGGAATTTTTGCTTGAAAAATAACTGCTTAAAATAGTAAGAGATGGTTCCTTTCAGCTTAGGTACACTCAAGTAAGTCAAGTCATTTATTCTCATTACTATTCTTCAAGCTGTAGTTGCTTTCCATTTCCAGTGAGCAACTGCTTTTATGGAGGCGGTGCGTTGGAGAAAGCACTCTGCAGAGCTTCCTCAAATTTGCGTGATTACATTAGTGTATTTCTTGGTATTGTTTACAACAGCCAGTGTACTGGAGATTTACTAGAAAGTATGAGTGTATGCAGTATACACAGTAATGTGGTTTCATATAGAACATCATCATGCACAATTTTCCTCCCTCTTGTATTTATGTTTATAACAGTTTAAAATGTAAAGAAAGCCTTGTGTCTACTGACTTGACACACAGTTAGAGGACCTTTCTAAACATCACTGTCCTGTCCCACAATGTGTCTGTCAATTCAAGTAAAAAGTAAAGTCAATATTTCTGAGCACAAACCTAGAAGGATAAAATTATCATTTTAGTGTAAGATTCACCTCAGTTCTCAGCACTGATCAGATCTACCTTCCTCTAAACTCCACTTCCATTAAAACTACCACTACTTCTGTAGCTCAATACTTAAGTAAGTAAATACTTAATACTCAATCAATATACTCTTCCTTTTATAACTTTTAACAGTCTACTCAAGTGTTGAGAAACTGAACTATACAGTCACAGACAATTGATCCATCTGTCAAATTAAATCTCAGCTCAGTATTTCATAAACAGTAATACATAAACAATTACAGGCTAATAGTGATGACTGTCCCTGCCGGTTTGAAAAGTCAAGTAGGTCATTTATATTTCAGTAACAAACAGAATGTATATCCTATATATGTCCTGGATGTAGGGTGAGGTCAGGGCCAAGATTAACAAAGAGGAAGAGTATGCTTCGGACACGTGACGAGAATGTCAAAGATAAAAAGTCAACCATAGATAAATGTGCGTTCAGAGCATCCCTGAAGGTTCATGTGACTCTAACACAACTCAGTTTAGCATGTGGCATTAAGCAGTGCCGACACTGTATGATGTTGTGGCAAACAGCTAAAGACATATGTTTTGGTATCTATGGAGCAAGCTCAGGGATATCTCAGCTCGGCAACGACAAACCACTTTTAACAGGTGGACAGCAGCTTGTGAAACCTAAACTTCTGAAGAGCCACCCGGCTAATGTTCATGGAGCAGGCAAACAAAGTGCCTGATGATGATCCTGATCAGGAACTTAGGTACACATCTGTGAAAACAATTCATTCAGGGAGCAAATACAGACAGCAAGGGCTGCAGAGTTTAATTATGAAAAGGTTTAGTTGAAGCTGTAAAAAGATTTGGGACAGACTTATTTTCTACAACTGAAATCCTTTGCTGTCACTGCGGGAGGCAATAATATCAGCTCTTTTTATAATGTGTGACTGATTTCTCTAAACCACATGTTATCACTTCTGAAGGAATCCAACTAGAACCAGGAAATGTAATCCTCCACCACAAATACAAACACTGTGACAAGCGCACAAAACTAGTCAATACTATCAAATCTAGTCCATAATGGCATGTAGGTCACATTTAACTTTTCTGGTCACCGGTAAATTTAATTAAATGTGGGTCATTTAAACTACATCTTGGTGCTTTATCACGTGTGCATTACGTAATTTGCCTATAAAATTTTGTAATGACTTGCGCTTGTAATAAACAAGAGATCTCTGATTAATGCTTTTCACCTTCCTTGTGTAATGTGGGAACACCTGGCTGTTCATTAACTCGTGATGAGGCATACTGGGTTATGAGGGCACTGCAGATAAGACCGGCCGACTTAAACCTTTCATAAAAATTTCCATTATGACATTTTTTCATGTGACTTTTCCCAGGGATAACATATCTTGCAGAATTATTCCATTGCAAACATTGTAGCTGTTGATTTCCCCCCCCCTTTTTCTTGTAGATAACAATTTTTGTTGGGACTGTTTCCAGGAATGTGGTGATCCTTTTTACCGCTGATGTACAAAGGAAGGTCAAAGCTCATTTCGCTATATTTAGGCAGTAAAATCAGTGATCCTTTAAAAAATACTTTAATTTCTGTGGTAAGAGAAACTCTTAAGTCCATTATACGTATGTTTTGGTATTCTTAAATGTGTTTCTCTGTTATTTGAATTATGATGTACTTTTTGATAGCGAATGACATTGTTATTGCTCCGTTGTGGGTGGACACGGTCAGAATGTAAACAAAGGTGTGTAGTATTTGATGCAGACTTCTAAGAAGTAGATGTTTGATGTGACACTGGACTAAACATACACAAAGAAATATGAACATCAAAGCTTAAGAGAAATAATTATACTTGATAATTGTATTTCAGGGGTGTTTTACATTTGAAAATAAAATCTAAATTTACAAAAAAAAGCAAATTTAGATATTTAAAAGTAAAGGGACCTGCTAATTACTGGAGGAGACCTTCTTACTTGACAACCTGCTAAATGCAGGGGGGTAGGTTGACACCTGATACTTCACAAACACTGCCTGGCAGGGGGACCCACAGGGAAGGGACACACCACCCTTTTACTGGGAAAGGCTCACGCTCCTATCCTGCCCACATTACATTACCCCCACCCCATAGACACACACACCATGTCCACAGATGGCTGGCATGACTGTGCGCTGCTCTAGTATCATGCTGTTAAATTTGAATCCACGGGACTGGGCAGTGCTACAGACCACCAGACTATCTGGAGTCAGGGGGAATATTTCAGAGGCACTTTATTTATATCAGCAAGGGGCACTGCTTTTCCCACCACTAAAATTAGCCCGGGTAAATACTAAGGTTGATTAGTCATAGCACTAACAGAATAATAAAAATGGAAAACTATTCTAAAGTTGAGCATGTCTTTACACACACCAACAAATGAAAGAGACTCACAAGATGAAAGACGGGCAACGTTTCCTTCTCGTTCACGCTTTTCTTGGAAACCAATATGCAAATGGATTTACTGTAATGTAATCGAATACCTCTGGATGTTTGTCCACATTGGGCTTGTTAATTGCATGACTTAGCTGTAGCAATCGTCTCAGTTACTGAATTTTGCTTTAGCTTGTGGTGAGCCTAATGGCTGACGCTGAGTAAACTGAGTTTTAAGGATCTTAACGGCAATAGCAGTGAAGAAGAGCAGCATTTTCAGAAATAACTTGTAGAAAAATAATTTGTTAAACTTTAGCAACAATATGAAGATGCAAAATTTTGCATTTAGCCAAAATGAATGTATTTGGTATTTGCAGGACTCTTGACTTTCATGTATTACACGGTGTCACCAGAGCAGTCAAACCAAAGCAGTATGGAATCTACTAGAACCAGTTAAACAACATTATAGCCGACTGTACTGTGCTTGTTTGTAGGGCCTTTATGTGTCAGCTATCTTGAACAAAATGCTTATTAGAGCCGTTTACTTCTCAATCGTCGTTCCTGATGGTCAGGGAGCATTAGCTTATTCCAATTAAGAAACTTAACACTCACCTTAGTGTTTTGACCTGGGCTCTTTGGTGTACTATTCCCTTTGTGGCTCGTGTTTACATCAGTAATAGAGCTAGGCAACTTAGCTGGGCAGCAAGGAGACAAATGAATGTGCACATGAGGAGAGCAAGGGCTACTGAGTTTTGGATTTGAAACGTGACATGAAATTCCAGTGTTAGCGTAAGGCACTTCGAGAGAAAAGCTCCTTTGTATAGCGCGATGACAATGGTTTTCCTCTGGCTTTTCCAGACCTTTTCCCAAGGAACAAACCATTTGGTTTTTCTCTGATGGTTTAGTTGAGGAGAACAAACAAGCAGAGGTACTACGATACAGTTTTTTGCGAGGGTCGTGTTCACCCTCGGGGTGTGCGGCTGGGTTCGGAGCCTCAGGATATCCCACATTGACTGTAGTCGTGGTTGTAGCTCCCTTCCCGGGTATCATTGGTCTCTGGTGGGCAAAGTGCAGCAGCACACTGCTAGAGTGACGATTTGATCTGTCTAGAGTTGATGACAGTTCCAATATTTTACTCCTATCCTCCATTTTGCTTTTTGGTTCATCCTGTAAAGGAATATTAAATTGCACCATGTGTTTGGTGTCCCTGAACTCAGCTGAACAGCTTCCTTTCGGGACACGACGACCACTTAGTGCCGTGGTGGTGGACCCTTTGCAAGTCACTTCCTCATCATCTTGTGAGAATTCACTGGCAAATGTCTGAGGAGATGGCTGATGAGACCCCCTCGCAGGTGGGAGAGCAGGAAGAGCCACTGGACTGACTGGGGAAGCAGGTGGGGTGCTGCAGGGGCTCTTTGGAAATATAACCAAGGAGGAGCACCGTCTCAGCGGAACCTTGGACTTGCGGCAGAGTAGACTCCTCTCCTGGGTGGTCCTCTGCTTTTCTGGAGCCTCTGGCTCAAAGATGCTGTTGCTGCTACAATACCCGGCATCGCTGGCCATGCTGCTGCTGCATGAGCCTCCGTCAGAGCCACTACCTGCTCCTCCTTCACTGCCCCCCGGGTCTCCATCCTCTATACTGCCATCCAGCTCTCCACTGAGCTTTCCACCAGGCTGCAACAAGATCTGCAGAATGCTCTTCTTATTACATCCTCCAGTGTTAACCCTTGGTATGAATACTGAAGAGTAGCGTTGAAAATTAGCATAGTCTGGTGACAGAGGAGTCACCTTCAAGTGGACAGAACTGTGCGCCAGAATCTCTGCGGGGCTATAAGCTGGCACACCGACTCCACTCTCCTCACCATGGCTGCTGAGGCTTTCTGACAGAGGGTCCGTGTTGCTTCTCCTTGACGCAAAATGCAAGCGCAGCCGACGTGCCATTCGTTTAACTCTCTAATCCCTGCAGCGCCGGTAAGAGCTGCATGATCAAACTTGCTGGCAGGAAAAAAGGAAAGCAAAGCAACTGCTCCGAGCTCTGCTCTGTGATCACAATCATTAGCGGCTGTACATTGCCAAAATAGCTCTGGTGACAACCTACATTCCTCTCCAGGCTGATCTCAGCTTTTAGTCAGAGGAGGTCAGTGGTTCTGTTTGGAGACATGACCCAAACACACGACCTTTGAAACTAGAGCAATCCCAGAGGTTTGCCCCTTTAGGAACTTTAAACCCTAGAAGGAAAACAAAATTCCACTAAACTTAAAAGACAGAGCTTCCACTGCTGCTTTATAACATTAGCTTAACTTAGCTGCTAGTTAACTGTACCTCCTGAATTACAGCCAGATTAATATCTAACACTTAACACCTTGTGTCTTTTCCAGCCGCCTCACTTCTGTTTAAAACAACAACATGGAAGCCCTCTACGTTGCATCTTAGACCGAAGCTCTGGTAAACCGTTACATCTGCTTGAGGCCACTCACTCAAGACTCTACTTCCTGCTGCAGCTATGCTTCTAATGTTTCTGCTGCTCCGTGCCCCCACAAATATTTTTACCCACTGCTATTGAATTACAGGAAATCAAAGGGAACAACTTTCAACATAATTCTGTATGAACCTGAGGACTGGGTTCCAAATTTACATAGCACGCAATAAAACCACCGTAGCCTGTGTAAATAATGGCCATAACCTGCATAAATCACCAACTTATTTCATGCAAAAGAACAACTAACACCAAAAGACATGTTAGAAAATGTTCTTTTGCTTGCAAAGAAACAGGAAATGTGTTAAACAGAGATAGAGAGGTAAAGTAAACTGTGGCATATTATCTGCCAGCTGACAGAAAACACAAAAAAATAAGAAAGAACTGGGATTGCTTCGTCGGTGACATGACACCTGTTATATGACTCCTCATGTAACACTCAGTGCTGGTCTAATTTCCTCTGCATGGCTGTTGACAGTCCTATTTATTAATGGAAGCCTATTGTAGGCTAGGCTGGCCTATTTCAGGGCATTACTCTGCATCCAAATCAGTTTCAGTAAAGGGTGTAATAGTACGAGACAAAGCCAGAATAAAGACATGATTCACCAGAGGACACTATTTTTTTAACTAACATGACAAGTTACCTTGTGACTGGCTATTAATCACTCCTCCAGCACAAAAGTAGATTTAATTGATGGTGGTGTGTAGGCCATAAGATAAGATTGGTGACGCATACAACACATTTGTGCCAAGTCATACAGTATGGTGTAACGGGCCAATAATAAAGAAAAGCAAAGCCGCCATGAATGTGGCACCAAAGTAAACATTGTGCCCAAAAGAAACACTGAAGGACAAGCTATATTTAATAAACTCTTTAGAGGACGTGTTTTAGTGTCATTACAAACTGTGTCAGTGGGGTGTGATTAGAGTAGAAGCTGGGCCTGAGAGACAGGGGATTGCTCTGACAATCAGCAGGAGCAACTGTATGTGTTAACATCACTCTGTGAGTGAGTCTGAAATCACTGCCCATTTATTAAACAGTGCGCTACACTTACTGTCCATGAGTGCTTTTATTTGAGTGTCCGAATTCCAACTGTGTAAATGTCCCCGTTGTATAATGCCCTCAAATCTTCCACAATGAAAAGAAAAGAACAAAAAATACTTTCTGCTAACAATCCCACAATACAATGGGCCACATTTTACAGATGATAAAATGACAGCTGCACAACTCAACAGTTGTCACTGATGACGCAAAATGATGATGACTACTGAGTAAACTATTGAGTGTCCATTGTTTACTGTAGGGAGTAATGAATGAGTAAATGAAGGGAGTGATTTTCGGACACAGCTCCCATCTGATCTCAGATTTGTGTCCAAGCAAATCGAGCTAGCCACTACTAGCTATCTGGAGCTAATGTGTATTTTAATCTTAACTTTTACTGTTGTGTATGTTTACTAGATGATTAATTACTATGCTTCTTATTGGTACTATGAGAGTTGATCTGTCCAGTTTCCTTGTTAGTGTACTAACTCAGTTTTACAATAAAATTGGTGTAATTCTTGTATATTGAATCATTTTCTGATTCTTCATCATTATTGATTTTTTTGTCCAGTACTGTTTTCACAGTTTCACAATTGCATAAAAACTTCAAAAGGCAAACCGTTCAGCTACATGCATAGAGAGGGCAGAAGAATACACTGAACAGAGCCTGAAGACATGTAGATATCTTAAAGTAAGACTTGTCAATCTGATCAATATCATCTGGACTCGTTTGTGAACAGATCTGACCAATTGACACAGGTCTGGACCATTTTCTTTCTTTCTTTCTTTCGTTCTTTCTTTCTTTCTTCCAGAGAACATTGTGTGTGGTTTGGGAAGTAAGTTTCTCTTCTCTTCAGCCTTCAGCAGTCTGTAAAAACTAGGAACCGTTTCTGAGTCTATTTGTGCAGTCGGTTACACAACAGCGCTTTACCATTTTATCAGTGTTTTCCATGTAATTTCATAATGGCCATTCATTCAAAGGGGGAGTAACCATGGCAACTTCTGGCAATATCATGTGCATACCCTCTATCCACTCTGTCTCTGGGAGTGAGACATGGCCTGCTACACAGACACCTGATGTCTCAAAGAAAACATTACAAAGTATCTTATTTAGTTTTTCATGATTGTGTCTGATTCTGAGGTGTCTGGGAGTATGTGAGTGTCTCCAGCTGGTCAAACAACTTGGAACCAGGAAGGACGGGGAAGATTAGGGGGTCTTGAGATGTCACCTGGAGCACTCCCTCTCTCCCTCCTTCACAACTTTACCTGCTCAGTGAGCCGCAGAAGTGCTGAAGGTAGACTAAAGTGCACAACTTTTACTTCTAGCACTGCAAAAGTCTCCAAAACAGTAGTTATTTAATTTCATGGAATAATGCCATTCGTTTTCAAGCGACCTCGTTGTAAAACATGTTGACTAAAGCAGATTCATGGCACTAGGTGAAAGATCCTACTGTTGATCCCAAAAATGATTAGGATGTACCATTGGGTGACAAAAAAAACTCAGTTTTATTCTCAAACTCTGCTGCTATCAAGATAAAAGAAGACATTTCCTGCTTTCTCTGCCCATTCCTCTGTGTGTATGAGCAGCAGTGACACACACGTGCAGGGAAGCACATTTACAGTGCGGACACACCCACCAAATTTCTACGAATTGCACCTGGGGCATGACAAAGCAGCCTTGTGTGAGTCACACCCAGGTTTGTTTTCTCATGTGACTGCCATGACTATGACAAGACATGTTTAGAAACATTCAAACCAAATAAAGAGTGACAATGAAGCCAAATCAAACACACAATCACATCAAACTGCAAAGGTGTTCAGTGTTGTACAAACTCAGAAGAATTACAATGATCAGAAATATGAAGATTGGGACAAGAATAATCATGTGATTTTATTTTCAAACATTATTCATAGTTCTGTGCAGAAAGGTGACCTGCTGTGCACAGTGGAGATAAGAACAAATGGTCACGAGCTACATGACATCCTCTTCCATTTCTGCCGCTTTTCGTGTGTATTCTGTACTTTAATACTCAACCTTACTGAAATCTGAAAAACTTAATTTATTTTTTGTTTTATTTATTTTTTGTTTTGTGTATTTCTGTGTCATTGGTATCTACATGTCACACATGTCAAAATATTGTTTGTATTTTAAACTCTGAAAACCCTAAAAAAGAACAAATGGTCACAAATAGCTGGCTGACACATAGCTGTGCACTAACTTGATTCTTTTGAATGTGCTGCTTCTTGTTATATTTGCTGAGCAGACTCTACCAGTTTGGACAGGTTGATGAATCAGTGCCTCGCCATGTGGAGGACATAACAGGTAGAGATGTGTCCAAATGTTATTATGACTGCAATTCAGTCAGGAAACTGAAAGATTTTTTTTATATAACTACTACGATCTTAACTACTAAAATTTACATGCTACTGTAGAAAACAAGTGAACTTGTTTCCAGAAATGTTACACCAGTTAACCACTTAATACGTGTGTTACTTTGCTTAGTAAACTGTGGCTTGCCTAGTTGACAATATTCCCACTAATCCCAAGATGTTATTTATAATTAATTCCCAACATGTTTTTACACACATCCAATGTGCCTGTAGGGGTTAGGTGACATTTAGGGTAAACCAGTGGGGACTGTTTATCTTGTCTAACTGCTACACTGGGTTTATACAGTAGATCACATACAGAGAGCACAGTGTCAGACAGCAATGGTGTTTACACTGTTGTCTGGCTGCTCAGATGTCCCAGAACCTGCTGTGCATCAGACCAGCATGAAACTGGGTCAGCGGCTCAACTAATAACATTCTGCGACCTGGAATTTCCCAAAGCTTAAACATTACTGTGTAATCAATAAGAGAAATAGTAATCTACTATATTCACTGCAGATGTCGCATAACAACCCAAACCTCAGATCTCACCAGGCTGCTGCTTCACACAGGAACCCTATGAAACTGTGTCCTCACAGAGACTATTGAGCTCAGCTACATATCACTGCACATAATGTCTCCATCGTCAGCTCCGATGTGACTCTTTCAATCTCATCTACCCTTGCACAGTAAGTGACGGGCGTTGGTGTGCCCTTAAGGTAGCCAGATTTGCCCCTATTTACAGCTCTGACTAATTAGTTATCCCCCTTTTCCAACAATATCACATATCATGGCAAAATAAGGGCGGCTGCATCTGGCACACAAACCAAAGTCAACCTTGCACTGACTGAATACCCTTATATACAGAGATACGACACATTCCCTTGTTTGGCATTCATGGTGTTTTATTGTAGACGCACATAAGGTTAAGAAAAATATGTTATCAAATCTATTTCGTTAATTATGCAAATTATAAATGAATTGTTTCTAATTTCTAAACCTGTGAGTGTGTTTGTTTGTTTGTTTGTTTAAGTCATTTTTCAAGCAAAAATACAACATTTACTTCTACTAGCTTCTCAAATGTGAGGATTTTGCAGTTTTTCTTTACCTTACGTGATGGTAAATCTGAATTTCTTTGAGTTTTACACTGTTGGTCACACAAAACAAGACATTTTATAGACCAATTAATCAATAAAATAATCAGCAGATTGATTGATAATTGTTAGTTGCAGCCCTAAAGTGAACCAATCCTTCTGCACTTAGATTACTAGATTTAGTAGAGAAAATAAAAAGAACTAGAGCAGCTTAAAAGAAGAGTTTGCCCAACACAACAAGCTACAACCTACTACATGTTTTAGTATAGGGTTGAACAACAACAACTAAAACAACTTACCAGACGGTTCTCATCAAACACCTCCAGCAGCAGGCGATGCTTCCTGGGATCAACCTGAAACATAATATA